TTCGGATGTAATTGGTCTGGTCCTGGAGACTTAAACTTGTTCATGGTAACCAGATGCTCCCAAATGACCTCTTTACTTATTATCTTGGATTGCCTCCCCCTCCTTTTGTCATTCTGCTTAGATCCAGTTGAGCACAATTAAATTTTGGGGAGAAGACTGAAGCAAAGTAGGAGCTGAAGATTTCTGCCGTCCCCACATCACTTTTACTATCTAACCATCTACTGCTAGCAGCAGACCTACCTCTTTCTTTCCCCCCCTTTTACTAGTGACATTGGCAGAAGATTTGCAATGAGCACTCCAAAGACTTTCTCTCTCAGTTCTTGAGATACAGCCCATCTTTGTTCTCATTGGCATAATCTGTGGAGTTAGTGTTCACGTCAGTATTTCTCTTCTTCCTCTTGAGCCACATTCTTCGACGGGAATGAAGAAAACACCACCTGTGCCTCAGCTCCTTCACTTCTTGCTCAGCATTTCATAGTCTTCATAGTTCATAGATCTGGAAGAAAAAGTATTTGTAAGTAGGTTTGAAGAGTTATGAGTCTTTCCCCATCATATGCTGAATGTGTACTCCATGAAGGCAACAGACTTCTCCTGATAGTCTGTTAGGCCGCCAAATTGATGCTTCCAGTCTCTTTCAGCAAGGAGTTGCCAATCACCACCCATGGCTCCCTCCTCTTTAGGGAAGAAGCAGGAATCCTATGTTTTGCAGAGCCAGTAGAGTCCTTTTCCCCAGCCCTTGAGGCTTGTGACTACTGTTCTTCATCCAGAGGTCCAGAAACACCATCAAAAGTGAGGTCCTGGAATCTATACCGAGGCTCCAGGATATAAGAGCTCTTCTTGACAGACATGGGCCTTAGAATCACATTCCTTGAGTTCTTCATTCTCTCTGGCTTTCTTCTATTTTCTCTGAAGCTTCTTAGTCCTGTTGTCCCTCCACAAGTGTTCCCTGTGTCAGATTCAAGAATTCCCCATCTTCCTTGATAAGCTGGGACTATCCATTACTGACAGTAAAGCACTTGTGCCTTTTATTCTTATCTTGTGACATTCCCAGTTACTTCCTGCTGACTTGCTTTCCATTATCATGCATCTAACAAATAGAGCTTGTTTCACTGATTTAATTGAGGAAGTGCCATTCAGCCTTGTGCCATGAATCCCTGCATCTTCTCAAGTGCTTTTAAATGCCAGCTATTAATTGTGTGCAGTGGCATGCTGGCAATGACTAAAGGGCTGAGTATCAGGAAATGTGGAAGCAAAGAAAATGTAATCCACCTGTACAAGTTTATGCATACCAAGTAACTTTTTCTTTTAGCAGACTGTCTGATCTTATTACTATATCTATAAAGCACTCCAGCTTGAAGTACTACCATGCTTTGTTCTTTAATGGTGAGAGGAGGAAAGCAGAGTGTGTTTATGCATCTCTGCATGTATAGAAACAGACCTCCTTCACATACTAAAGTATGCTGGACATTAAGCAATCTACCTAGGATTGCCATATGTTACCCAAGTTGGAATTAAAAGAATGACCTTGATGATAGAAACATTGAACATTCAAAGATTTTGCAACCTTAAGTGTGTTGCAGTTGTGTTTGTTTGTTTGTTTGTTTGTTTGTTCGTTCATTCATTCATTCATTCATTCATTCATTCATTCATTCATTCATTCATTGGATTTTGAGGCCACCAGGCTAGAAACCAGGAGACTATGATTTCTAGTCCCACCTTAGGTATGAAAGCCAGCTGAGTAACTTTGGGCCAGTCACTCTCTCTGAGCCCAACTCACCTCACATTCACCCATACACTTTTGGGGAAAATAGGAGGAGGAAGGAATATTAGGTATGTTTGCCACCTTGAATTATATAAATAATTATATATATAAAAATAATAAAGACGAGATAAAAAATTTAAAAAAAGACTCTGGGCAGCTTACAATATTTAAAAGAATACATAATTTAAAGAAGCATGACTGCCCAGACAAAACCACATAAATAACATTCAGGAGAAAAAATTTGACAGGTTCTTCACAAATGCCCTAACCCCAGCCCTGGGCACAGAGCCAGATCTTAAGAGGGTGGGGGATGTATTTGTCTCCAGGGGGATACTGTTCTAGAGGGTAGGAGCCATGAGAGAAAAGGAACACTTTCTTGGTCCTGCAAAATGACAGCATTTAATTGGAAGGACCCAGAGTGCCACCAGTCTCACCAATCATACTGGATGGGCAGAAACAACTGAAGAGAGGTGGTCTCTTGAATAACCAGGCTTTCCAGTTGAGGAAAGAACACAATTGGCACACAAGGTAGACCTGTGCAAAGGCCCTCCTGGTCACAGCTACCTTCCTTTGAACAACAGCTGCAAGTCCAGGAGGATCCCCAAGTTGCACACTAGTCTTGAATGGGGAAATTCAACACTACCTTTTGGGGTTGTGTGTGATGCATCTGTGAAGGTTGATACTCTTTTTCAGAAGAGAGTGCCCAAGCAAGGTCAGCCAGCCTCTTATTCTGGCAAGACTGGGATGATAACAGCTGCTCTGTACAACTGTACAACTCTTTCATCAATGAAGTATTTAGAAAAATAAAAATATTATGGCAGCTTGTTATATTTTTGCCTGTCATTCTTGGTTGGAAATCTAGCTGGGAAAAAGAGTCTTAAGCTACTGAGGGGGAAGAAACTACTATTATATGGTCTACTTCTTATTCCTGCCCTTGCTAGGTCAGTTTATCTCAGTTTGGCTGTTCCTACTCTGCTACAGGCCTGGCTCTTGTAAAAAGATTCACAGGAAAACAGATGACTTTGGCAGGGCCAAGGCCAGTATAATAGTCTTCCAGGCAAGGAAACTGTCAAATCAAAACAAGTAAATGGAGGATTGAACTGGAGTAGCACTAATGCCTGTAAGACCACAAGTTTGGGGGAAATCAGTGAGAAGGGAAGAGGAAACCTGTCATGGAGATAATGCTGGAAGAAAGCAGTTTCACAGAATTGCTGAGCCGAATGAGTCAGATTCAGTGTAATTGGGATTTTGACGTCTGATTCCTTTGCTGCTTTGTTCCTAAATTTATCTTTAAGAAGGAAATGCAACCTTTTCTGGTTCCACTTACTTTAATTATGTGTTATTTCAATGAGTTTGTGCCAAGCTGCCCTATTCTTATCCTTTCCTAGACTTTCATATAGAAGCTGTTGGAAGTCTAGAGGCCTCTTGTGTCTGTCACTCAGTATAATAAGGTTGCATACAGATAAGCATCATTCTACAATGAGCCCGTAATAGAAGCTAGATTGCTACATTGCAAATATGCATCTTAAGGAGAACCTCTTTCATTGACTTACATCAAAATTGTCTTTGTCTGGCACTGATTCACTTTTGTGTCAGACTCAGATCTGTGCTCCCTTTCTGTGAGTATGTTTTATAAACATTAATGTTTAAAAACAAGAAAATGTCAAACAAATAATTGTTTGAGCAGACAAAAGCAGTTAGCTGGAGTCTGTTTATTATCTTTACATGATGGTGCCTGTACTCCAGTAAATGAATGTGTTACCTGGATGCTAGATAGGGTTCTTGCATGAAGAAGCAGACATTTCATATGACCTTGCCTGAAGTGTCACGAAAGCTCATGTGGAAAGACTGAAACTCGGCCGTCTCACAATTTGGGTGTTTTTATTTTACATCTATATTTATTTTTATTTGGTGGGTTTGCAGAGCCTATCTCTAGGGTGTTGCAGGTACACATTGCTGACTGTTAATACTCAGCTGAGAGTCAGTTATGATATTTTGAGTGTTCACAACTGTTTCTGTTTCTGTATCACTCTGCATCAGTGTTTTTCAAACTTGGCAACTTTAAGATGTGTGGACGTCAACTCCTAGAATTGCTGGGAGAATTCTGGGAGTTGAAGTCGACACACTTTAAAGTTGCCAAATTTGAAGAACACTGCTGTACATGTTGCTGTAATACATATGCTAGAGTAGTTCTTGACAGAATATAGTCTCTCTTCCATTAGTGGGAGAGTTTTTAGAAATAGTTATGCATCTAGTCATGTATTCCCTTGTAATATATTGGAGAAACTTTCAGACCAGATCAAAGATTGCTGCTATTCCTTACATGTTTTTCATTTTTAGATGGTACTTCTGCTTTTCTTAAAGAAGTATTAACCAATATTGGAGAGAGAGTGCAATTTATTCAGAAAGTTTCTGTGTGTTTTTTTTTTCTTCAGTAGGCAGAATGCATGTCGCTTAAACGTTAAACAAAAAAATTGTAACTTCATGGAAAGCCAATAATTGTCTGCAAGCACCTTACCTACGCTAATTAAATAAGACAACAGACTACAAGTGTCTTATGGGCGTGACTCTGCAGTGCTGCCATGAGCAATTTCAGTAAAGTGCATTTTCATATAAAATGCGACACAGACTCGAAGGTAGTTTTTGTAATGAGTTTAGTGTTTCTCATACAACAGTGTGGTTCACAGTTTTGATGAAAACCTAGATTTACTTTATTATTTCCTTGCTCTTACCTTTTATCTGCCTGCTCTGATACAAATATATTTTGCAATATATATTACATTATGCTCATTATAGAAGGGAACACAGGGCAACATTAGAACTGTTTTACCCATTCAAAAGAATCATGCCTCATTGTACTATTTCAGAATGCATGAAGGGACTATTGAAGATTAATGTGGGAGAGCTAACTTCCATTCATGTAGAAAACTACTACAATTACTGATGGCTGCCAAAATCTAAACCCGTTTCATGCTGCCCATTAATGACTTTTGAGCCATGAATTTCCTGGTTACAGAGTAATATTGGTGGATTACCATTCCTATTAACTCTTAGTTACATGGAGTAGGACTTTCATCTCATGAAACATCCCCTATTTAAGACCCTGTAGAGAAGAGTTACCTTCTTAAGGAACCGGAGGTGACCTTTCAATTCCTGCAAAAGAAATACAATATTCAACAACCCAAATTGCAAGCTATGTGCATGTTTTTTTTCAACTTTTACAATTCTTGTTCTGTAGGTGTGTTGTTGTGCTGTTTAACCCCAGGAAAAATAAGCAGCACCATATTCTAAACAGCTCCAGGTAAGTGAAAACATAGAGTTCTCAGTTGCTGAGTTGCTTATATTGTCTTGAAGGTAAATGTTGAGGTTTTATCCAGCTATAACCTTCAGTGAATTGTTCCTAATGAAGAACTGTGTCTGCAGTGGACACAGAGTGAGATCTAAAGTTCACACACGCATGCCCACACAAATAGGGAAGCGATGCATACCAAAGAACAGATAAGCTTTAGGAACATTTTGAATTGGTATCACAGAATTTCTTTTCCACTTTTTGGAAATTTGTGACCGAAATGAAATGCTGAACTTCTTTATATTGAACTCCTGGATACATTGTATACAGGTAGTCCTCAGGTTAAGAATGCCTGGTTTGAGGATGACCCATAGTTAAGAATGGAGCCTATTTTAGCAAAATTTGAGTTAAATACACAGTGATTCGAGTTAATTACACAATACTACTTACACAGTATTATACAATAATACTGTTCCGGCTTACGTACAAATTCGACGTAAGGACAGACCTTGGAAATGGAACTCGTTCTTAAACTGGGGACTACCTGTATTATGAATCCCAGAAGTCAAGTCATGGGATGATAATTGTGGGGAACAAAACACATAGCTGGTTAAACAGCTGATTTCTTAACCTTAGTGATTTAAAATATTATAAGATTCTTCTGCAGTTCGAGTGTTTAAAGCAGTAAAATATTTTCAGAGTGGGCTCTTGTAAGTTGAAGTTCTGTGTTTCTCCTTTTTTATGAAATGCTGTGAGGGTCTGAGCTGTTGACACCTTCTTTTCCCTACTCCCTTGTTCTGAGTTCCTTTGTCTCCCGCCAAGCTGCCCAGTCATTCTGGAGTTTGGATAGCCTAGAAATTGAATGAATGAATGAATGAATGAATGAATGAATGAATGAATGGTCTGAGGTTCAAAAGCTTTAACAAGCCAAATATTTATACAGCATGCTATGTTGCTTCAACACCTAGGCAAATAAGGATGCAGTGTTTAGCTCTTGTAAAACCTTCCTTCGTAGTGCAAAGGATTGTACAGGAACATCACTAGATTTGCATGGCCTTATCTTTACTTACTTTTATTGAGTTGAAAATGCCAATACTGTATTGGTTTTGTACTATTTCACAGTATGACATCTTCTTTTGTACAGGAAGACTATTACAGCCCTTGCTTTTTCTCCTGATGGAAAATACCTGGTTACTGGTGAGGTAAGTTGTGGTCACATGGCTCTCACGTGCCAGAAATTCAAACATTTCTTCCTCTAAATATTTCAATAGACAACTAAGGCAGGAACAACTGAAAAGCTTTCTTGATGACCTGGACTGGGGAGAGAGCCATGGTTCAACAAAAGAATAGGAATAGCTTCTCATTTTGGATGGCAAGAAAAAAGGGTCTGGGATTTAAGGGTTTAAGTTTGCTGTTGCCCATCCACCCTGAAAGGCCAAAATTCCTAGCTGCATCCTCTACTTCAGCATCCGCTGCTACTTGGGCCCGTAGTAGGGTGTAGATGTCTGCCACCTTTCCCTTTTTCATTGATATATAAAGTGAAGAAAGATGGTGATGGCTAGTCACTACCTGTCCTTCCACCTCAATGTGAGCCTCACTCTTGAGCAAGCTTAACTGATGGAGACATCATTTTTGGGGGGTGGGATCTAGGCAGCTACTCAACTGGCTCACTGCTGGAAAAGCCTATATGCTTGAAACAGCATGTCAGGAAGAGCAATGCTGATAGCTTCAACAATGCTGTGGCTGGCCAGAGTGTCAAATGGAAGCAGGCATTAGGAGACTCATCAAGGCAGCTTATAAATACCAAGAGCTGGACCTGATTTAGTCTCTCTGTTGAATGAGTTGATTTCTTTTTAAATCTTCAGGAATAGGGAAGATTTGCATTTTGGAAAAAAAATGCTTTTCTCCCAATGTTGCCAAAATGTTTTTGAGGTCCTCAAACCAGTGCCATCAGGATACTGTTCTCATAGAGATATACTCCAGACTATCTGTACTAGATTTCATGTGAGCAGCCAGAATGTGTGGCTAGGGTCTGACAGGACTCATAGTTAGTGGTGAACATGGGCTTCCTGTACAATGGTCACATTCTGTTGGTAATTCATGGAGTCTCAGGTACAAGGCCCGTGAGCAACGAAGGTAAAAAAAATGTTAGTGTGGGTAGATAAAGGAGATATACATTCTCAGTGGAAAGTAAGAAATGTTGCTTAAGCTGCAAATGCATAATTACTAAAATATTTTAAGAATATTTTATTTTAATAAAGTAAAAAGAAAACTCTTAATTTGTGGATACATTGATTTAAGTGACTGGAGAAGTAAGGAGGAAACCATCATGAACTAGTTGCTGATTTGGGGTTGCTTTGCATTTAGAAATATTAGGGAGAGGACATTTAGAAGTCATAGAGATGGGATTTGTAAGGTGAAAAGCATTTGAAGGTGGTGTGCCCTAGGGCTGCACAGAGCTTCACATTTGATCTAGAAGATTTCAGACTTTAAAATATCATGGCCGCTTTAATGAACTTCAAACCAGTATTGTGTTTGTATTCTCACATGCTCTGAAGCACCTCTTCCAAATCAAATCCTAATGTGTGCATCTTTCCCCCTTAATTCTTTGACTATAGGAAGTGAAAGGGTGATGTTGGTTTCTGCCTTGGATGGTTACACTTTGGGATACAAAGAAGCCAATGTTTATAGTCTTATTTACACTTTTTGGAAGGGAAAGACTTTAGGGGAAAAAACTTGGATATAGTGACAAAGATGCTGATGGTTGTGGGTTTGGCAGGGTTGGGTTTAATTGCTGGCACAAAGTTTTCTCTTTAAAAATGTATGAAGGAAGATAAAGAAGACGGCATTCAGTTTTTAATGTAGACCAGATATACAATACTAACACTGTGCGTGTTATGAAGATTGAATGGTGCTTGCTTGAAGCCCACAAAAATGTTGACAGCCTCTTGTTGTCCATGCTGGATGGCTGCCATGTGTGTCCAGAGAAGCTGATTACTATTGGACTGTGTACACAATCCCTTCATTGTTCTGTATGCTTTGGATTACAGATATTGAATTCAAGAGGTGATTCACCTCACTCCCACCAACCCAAGCAATGAACTGTAGAATGCAGTGCCAGTCATAATGGCATCTGACCTGCAAGTTTGTAACTGGGTTGATGTAAGAATTATTGTGTTGAATGTAAAAGGTTAGATTTGAGAACGGGCAGCAACACATCTTTGACAGCTTAAGAGCAAGGCAGGAGCTTCTCCTATTCCATGAGAATCTGATGCTCAGAACATTTTGCCAGTGGATATAAAATCCTCAGTTGGAAAGGCCCTTTGAGGTCAGCCTCTGCTTAATGCAGGATTTACAAAGTAGGATGCAATAACAGTATCTTTGACAGATGGCTGCTCAGCCTCTAGCCCAATATTTCTCAACCTTGGCAATTTGAAGACGTGTAGTCTTCAACTCCCAGAATTCCCCAGCCTGCCACGCTGGCTGGGAAATTCTGGGAATTGATATCCACACATCCTCAAATTGCCAAGTTTGAGAAACACTGCTCTAGCCTCTCATGACTTCTGAAGCAAGAGACTGCTCATCTTTTTGAAGAGCTCTCCCTATAAAACATATTCCAAACTTTAAATCAGTGAAGCTAACTGTTAGCTTTGTTTGATTATGCCTGATAAACACTGCTATAACTGTAATCCATTATTCTTTTTTTAAAGTTATGCAAGTTAGTGGCAATATAGTAGTCAATGGCAGAAGGCTGGGATGGTTCACTCTGTAACAAAGAGGAATTCCTGTAATTTTAAATGGCAAGGGATTGGATAAATGTTAACACTGACATTTCATGCTTGGGCAGCTGGGTACTTCCATGGTGTTTAGTTGTAGAACCAGTGCCTTCATTGCTTCCTCCTACTTCTTAAAGTAAGGACAATAATTCTCCCCTCTCCACTGCTGTGCAGTGATTTCCTATAATTTTGGCTTTGCTTCTGGTAGTACTTAAATCTGCAGGATAGTTTTGTAGTGTGAGATACATTTTTTTTTTCTTTCCTCATTGAACCTTGTTAGATAAGATTATTCATATTTACTATCTTGCTCCAACTCACTCTTAATCTTATAGATCTACAGTATTTTCCTTAAATCTGTTCCCCACCTCCGACTAAAAAATGTGAATGTTATAAGCTATCCATTACAAGAAAGAGTCTCTAAAGGTATTATATCAGTTCTGGGATTTTAGTTACACTGCCCACATATTACCTTTACCTTGAGACCACACCAATAAAAGTAGATGTTGTAAACCATTTCCAGAGATGTCCTTTTCCAAATGGAGATTTTGTTTTCTAGGCTGTATCCATTTTATATATATAATTACTGGGCCTATCCACTAATCCAATTAGAGCTGCCTTTGGTGTTGTAAATTTGGTTAAAAACATACAATACACATTTCAGTAAAATAGCAGCAACCACAATTCATATAAAAATAATATATGGCAGAATTCAGCTCTGGGGATCTAATCCTTTTAACAACCACCAATGTCTGTTATTAGAGAGGACAAATTATACCATTCCAGTCTCCAAATCATGATGAAAGAGCCATGTTTTGATAGATTTCGTGAAAACCAGGAGAGAGGAAGCTATTTGGATATCCGGTGGAATATTATTCTATAGAAGGGAAGCAGCTACTGCAAAGGATTGCCTCTGTGATGGTACTAAAGATGACAGTTCTTGAGTGAAGAGACACAGAGCAAGCCCTCCCTCCCCCTATATTTGTGCCTTCAAGTCAGTGTTGACTCCTGGTGACTGCCTGGACAAGTCCCTGCAGTTTTCTTGGCAGGATTTCAGAAGTGGTTTGCCATTGCCTGCTTCCTAGGGTTGAGAGAGAGTGACTGGCCCAAGAACACCCAGCTGCCTTTTGTGCCTAAGGCAGGACTAGAACTCAGGATCTCCAGGTTCCTAGCTTGGTGCCTTGACCAGTAGACCAAACTGGATCTCATGACCTTAAATTAAGATGTTAAAATCTGTGATGGTTTTGTGCATAACGCGGGACTATAACTCACGGTTTCTGGCCTGGTGCCTTAACCGTTACATCAAACTGGCTCTCAAGCCCATTCCACTAGATTTTATTAGTCAGGCAGATACTCCTGGGAGAAGGTGGTCCTGCAGATATCTAAATCCTGAACCATGCAGGGCATTAAAGACAATCAACACCTTAAACTGACCTGGGAGCCTACCGGCAGCCTTCTTTTTCTCTCTCCCCTCCCCATTTTTAATAATAGCCGGTTGACAGCCACACAATTTGTGTCTCCTTTCTTCTCCCCCTAACCATTACTTGTTCATTAGTCTGAATGCATGGGAAGATAGGACTATGTATGCATATGCTTTGAACATCTAGACTTGGCATACACAGTTTTTTAAAGGAAAAATCTGAAATTCTGGAATTCCCAAATATTCTGACTGTTCAGTTGATCTTTGCTGAATATACAGGTACAGTATTAATATTCCCCCCCCTTTTTTTATTCTTATTGTTACCCAAGGAGAAATAGTAGGATATGGGAAAAGGAAATCAGTTTGGTATTGCTGTGTGCACCTGGGTACTGTATATTTTTAGAAACAAAGTTAAATACTTGGAACACAGCCTTTTAAGACAAACTCAGAAGATGGTGGGCCACTGGCACCTTTCAGCAGCTTAAACAAGGTTAAATAAGTGATGAGATGTGGAAGATATTTCATATTTACACCATAAAAAGAATTATGCTACTTGAAACATGAAAAGTAGGTTACTGTGAATTGCAGAAGCTAGGCTATGATGCCCGGTATGCAGTATTAGAGTTCTAAAGAAATGGGCATTTTGTTGTGTCTATACACTTGAGAATGGCTTCTGTGCACTGTCAAGAAGCTTATTTAAACCTGACTAGAAAACAATACAGTATTGTTTGCTACTAAATGCCATCTCTCTAAGAAAAAGGCAATATTTTACAGGCTTTGATGAAAGAAGCTAATAAATTAGTAGTCTTTGCACTCTTCCTGTTTGTGACTCTCTGGTCCTTTCCACACTGATATTAATTTCACCGCTCCCACCCTCAAATCTCTGGGAATAAATAATGTTGAACAATCGGTATCTTGTCCCTAGCTGTCGCATGTCTGGGAGTTTTAAAATAAAAGTCATCTCTCTCTCTGACTCCCCAGAAGAGGGAAATAAAATAAAACAGTAGCACCCCTAACCCAATCCACATCATTATTTTATGATGCATGTATTTGTCTGGCCGTGAGAAGAAAATAGCTTGGTGGTTGGATTGTGAAGCTGTTGAGCCAGTTTCATCTGTGGAGGAACTGCTAGGGCAGCCAAAACTTGGGAGATGGGAGTTCTCCCCAGTGAGGAAATAGACCACCCATCATGTTCCACAGTGTGTCGAAACGCTGCAAAAGAAGATATTAGTTTTGCTGCAGATGAAGGTACATTGCAGCTGAGCTGGAAATAAGCCATGTGATCACAGAGAGCTGGAAGTGCCCTCTCTCTCTCTCTCTTCTGCTTTCTCTTTTCACACACACACACACACACACACACTTTGCTACAATTCAACAGCATTCTTAAGACCTGCACAAAAGATGAAGCGTTTACTTTTAACAGTAAATATTCTTCCTAAAGTGCTCAACATTCATTTTTAACAAAAGTAAAAATAAGGTTCTCCAAAATGCTTTATTGAACATATACTTTATGTTTTATATAATTCTCTATATAAAACCCAAAGTGACATGAAATGAAGTCTGCTCATGGAATAGGATTTTACCCTTTTGTTCCATCCTGTATCAGTTTACCCATTAAACTTTCTCGGGAAAGTCTCTTAACTCCCTGTAGAAGATTGAAGGGTCTTCTTGCTTCCTATTCAGCTGATCGATACACTGCTAATCCAAGTTTCTTGTATGAAGTCAGGTTTTCCTGTATATATTTCCATTTCAGTTATGCTCTGAAAGGAGATTGACTCTTAAGAATTGTCTTCAGGATTAACTCTGCTCTCTTCTTGTAAAAGTTTTATTATCGTTGCTTTTCACGCTGTCAATCTTTTAAAGGTGTCTTTGGCCTTTAAAACACCCCCAGAAGGTTTTCTGAGCTCTTCTAGGGTTATTATGAGATCCTGTGTTAATCTAGTGGTCTCATCTGAGTTTGAGTTTGCACCTTTCCAGCCTTCTGGTTATGGAGAAAGCATGATTAGAATTTTAGATTAAAGACTTAAGTCTACAACCAAGATGATCAACAGTAGACATGTGTAGACATAAGGGATGTCTGGGAATTAAGGAGGCTGTGCCTATGTTTCTCCCATCCAATCTGGGAGCCCTGCATGAAGTAAAAGAGCATGCCTGCTGCCTCCTTTTTGCCACCTATTGTATAATGTAGAGGATGAAGGATTGATCCTTTACTTGATTATTTATGATATTTTCTCTTGACTAATGATATATGAAGTCATCAAAACACAAACTAGGTTCTAATGTTGCAAATTGATCTCTTCTGAGATCAAAATGCTATATTAGCTCATGATTTATAAACAGAAACTGGCACCTTTGGCTTGTCTTCCATGCTTGAATAAAAGTGCATGTAAGTGACTATATTGCAATAACTGATTCTCTTTCTATTTACAGAGTGGGCATATGCCTGCAGTCCGTATATGGGATGTTGCTGAGCGGACCCAGATGGCTGAACTTCAGGAGCATAAATATGGAGTGGCATGTGTGGCCTTCTCACCAAGCTCTAAGTACATTGTCTCAGTGGGTTATCAGCATGACATGATAGTCAATGTTTGGTCATGGAAGGTAAATTATAGTCTTATATATTCTTTGTAGTCATCATGTAAGCATAAGTGAACCTGCAACTGGAAGTTGTATTATGGAGTGTATTCGAGATACCAACCAACCAACCAAGTCTCCTCACAGGATAATCTACTCTGAGTTTCTGTCTCCCAGTTTGAGTTTGTTCTTAGTATATACAAGGATACACAGCCTGAGCCCCAAGGGATGCGTGCATTCTTGATGACAGATGGCATGCGGACCAGAGCCTTTCCTAAATTTGCCATCGAATAGAAGAATGTAATTTAAAATTTGAGACGCAACCATTCTGATTATTTTCAATTATTTTTAATTGAATTTAAAAGTCAATGATACGCAATTTCATCATGGTTATTGGCCCTGCCTGCTTTTTGGAAAGTAGACTTCAGCTCAAAAAGTGGTGCACACCTCATAACAGATGTCCAATAAAGCAATAAATTGCTGTCATGGTATCTCTGTATTTGCAATAACTGAGTATGAAAGGGTTGTATTATAGGTATATGCTATATTTTCAGTGAGATGGAAATAATGGTTATTTAATGACTCCCTTCTAGCTTTAAAAAGAGGTAGAGAAATGTTTCATTACTTTGGCTATTACTATGTAGAATAAACATTCTGAAATGGTATAGCAGCCTAGCTGGGAAGAATCCCCCGCCACTTCCTCTTCTTGGTTTGCTAAGGCTCACACAATGGAAGATCACAGCAGGCTATTCCTTCTCCTTTTCAGTTAGATAGGCAGCTGCCTAATGCTGGATCAGGCCACTGTTTCATCTCATCCTGTCCTGGTCTCCAGCGATGGATACTGATTCTGAGCTGAAGATGCCAGAGGGCTGAATCTTGGGCCTTCTGCATCTTTGGCGCCACTGATCTACTGCCTTTCCCTTCTCAGTTTGGCTGGGTCCACACATTGTACCAAGTCATGGTTTCTTTTAAACTTGTTTAATTGAATTAACCTCATTTGGCTGGGTTCACAGAACAAGCTAAGACAAAAACAACTCAGTTATAGCTTTGCCTGATGTTTATGTTTTCAATATTCACTCTCAACACAAAAAGAATATCTGATACTTTGTTTAAAATAACTGGTAATATATTCTGAGTTTTCTGTGTTTTCTCCTCTAAAAATAAATGATACATGAATACATATTTTTTCAAGCAGCAAAGATTTGTGTGTTTTTTCTTGAGGCCTTTTCAAAACATTGAATTGTTCTCTAATGGCAGAAACAAAACCTTCAGTGATCGATACTGTTGGTAGCCGAAGTGGCTTCTACAGAAGGAGAGTAGCTGATTTGATCAGAAATAAACAGGGAGTTTTGTTTAAATGTGTGCTTAATTTATTTCCTGGTACAACTGAAATGTGTTCAGTTTATTTAATTATACATGAGAATTCAGGAACAGAAACAGGGTTATCCCAAGGGACTAAAATGCAATGATTTTTTATATGCCAAATTAATGCTGGGTAATTTTTTTGTTGAAGTTGAATGCGGTAGCCTGTCATTGTTAAGTCTGGATTTGTTCATTCTCGTATAATCTCCTGTTCAGCACAGTGTGCTGTTAGTCATAAATTGTTTCGCAGCTTTTTATCTGTGCATATTTATTAAGTGGTGTCAAAAGGCTTTATTCTGACACGACTGAATGAGTCAGGGGTAAATCCGCCTCTGGGTTTCTGATAATTAGATATCAGAATGCAACTCCTAGTATATCCATATAAAATCATATTTAGATTTGTTTTCTTTTTCTTGGGCTAGTAAGAGACTATGTGGAGGATAAGACCTGTATCCTACCCCTTAGTCATGTTACCTTACCTCTGCAGAATTCGATATTAATATTGATACAGATGCCTAAACCAATGGAAGGCCAAGATTCCTGCTTCCATTTACAGCTCCTCAGATCATTGGGAGACTCGCAGATTACTTCCCCATTGGGTATCCCCATGGAGCTCTTGCATCCTAACTCACATGATCACGAGGGAGGTAGCTGTAGGCTTCTCTCTGTCCATGAAGACTTTTCCTGTTCTTGCATCAGACTTTGCCCTGTTCTGATTCTGTGAACTTTCCCTCTTTATTTTTACATGCCAATAGTGGCAGTATTTCAGTACTGTATTTTCTAACTCACATTTCAAACTTCATTCCCAGTCCACATGACTACAAATATTATTGTTCGTCTCAGAAAAATACTGCAGTTACTTCTAAGTGTTTGTCCAGAAGGTATCTGTCTTTGTAACAGAATACAAATATGCCCATGTGCAAAAAGATTAAAATATAACTGAACATAATATCTTTAAAGCTAAAACAGATATCCTAATTTTAATGTCCCAAACAAGAATACTGCGAATGAGCTGATAGTGTGCCCTGAAGTTTCAAAATATAAAACTCACTTGTGTCATCTCGCATGTGGAAGGCTGCATCCTTTTCATGTATACACTATGGGAGGTGCCTCTGTGTACTCCCAGATATCTTGTGCACAAGTCAGATATATAGATTTAATTAGCAGAACATCTGACTTGCTCAACTGTCTTCTTTCCAGAAAAACGTTGTTGTGGCAGCCAATAAAGTCTCAAGCAAAGTGACAGCAGTTTCATTCTCTGAGGATTGCAGCTACTTTGTTACAGCTGGAAACCGGCACATCAAATTTTGGTACCTGGCTGACAGCAAAACCTCTAAGGTAAAGGACATTGTTGATGCTGTTGAAAGAAGGGGAGATATTTTTGACCATGATAACTATGTCAAATTTGTGAGTAATTGCACATAATGTCCATCAAACCGTTTCAGCTTCCCAAAGCAAAACAGTCTTGACATGTTGTTCTTTTGTGCCAGGTGAATGCTACAGTCCCCTTGCTTGGGCGTTCTGGTTTGCTCGGAGAACTGAGGAACAATTTTTTTACAGATGTGGCATGTGGCAGGGGTAAAAAGGCAGACAGCACCTTCTGTATCACCTCTTCTGGTCTGCTGTGTGAATTCAGTGACAAGAGGCTACTGGACAAGTGGGTGGAGTTGAGAGTAAGTAGTCTGTAACACGTGGATCTCTGCTCATGTTGGAGGTGAGAAGGTGATAGGGACCTCTCAATTCCACCAACTGTTTTCCTAGTGCATGATTTTGAAAACACATGGCAATGAATCAATCATGTCTGTGTTTGGTCAATGTCTGGATGGGATGATGCCTGGGTACCTTTGAAATGGGGGGGAAAAAAACTAAAGTAGCTAGATATGATCCATATAATGTACTGTATAATGGTGGCAATCTGTCTATCCAAGTGTTTTTCTCCTAATTAAGTTTGGATACTAGAAATGTATTTGATTGGGAGAAATCACTGAGGAGGAATGGATGTTCTCTAGAAAAGCCACCACCTTTTTTTATAGATGTGCTTTTAAATTGCATTCTTATTCTCTACTTTATATATTTCAACTGTAGTTTCCTGTAGCTTTGTAAATCTTGCAGAGTTTCACTCAGGCCCAAAATAGTCCCAAAACTGCCGGCAAGTGTGGCATCACAGGATACCCAATTAATATTTAATTAGAAAACAACTATTTTAACAGCCCATTCCTAATATAAACACAAGCTGTTTTAGACCTGTTCAGTTGCTTGTATCCATTCTGCCATATATTAGTACTATGCTTTAGTTACATAACCAAAGTAGAAAAATAGTGATTTGTTGAAGCCCACCTGCTTCACCACGTCCATGTGAATTGGTTTTCCCTTGATATAAATATTTCCTAGATTTGTGTCTAAATTTCTCAGTGTCTCTATACACTGAATGATGTGTCATTTGTTGGAGGACATTTAGAAAGCCTTTTCTTCCTCGTTAAATGGTAAATGCAACGATTTGGGATTTTTTTCTTCTTTTTTTAAAAAGGAACCCAGCTCCTAAGCCCTTGCTTACTCTTCATACTGAATGCTGTCTCTCTTTTCCTTCTTTTCCTTTTGGCACTGAAAACACCCTCTCTCTTTTACTTAGAACACAGACAGCTTCACAGTAAGTTCTAATGCTCTCTTGTCTCCAGCACACCACTGCCCCAGCATCCCTCCCATTTGTCGTCGTCTTTTTTTTCTTTGCGATTGTGCTAACTGCAGTAGAATTTAAAAACTGGAAGAAGATTGAGTCTCAATCAGGAATTATGTTTATTTCTTCTATTGCTTTATATAGGGTTAGTTCCCATTCCTAATACGGGGGAAACCTTTCCCAATGAAGTATCCAAATCCCTGTGTGCAAGTGTTGTGGTGCTGACTGCTGCTGTTCTAGTCGTTCAGCCATGCTCATTCCATTTCCACTCTTTTTTCTTTTTTAGTCTTATTCTGTAATAGGCACCATTCTTTCATCACTGAGCGTGCTCAGTGTCCTTTGGGCAAATTGCTGAGTTTCTATGAGGTGGCTGTTATTTCCCTCTGGTGTAGTCCTGATACAGTTTTGGATAGATAAGCAGTGGCACAGATAGTCTAACTATTGAAAATAGGAGCTTATGATAATAGTTGTCCTACAAAAACAGTCCTGTAAGGGAGGAAGTGTATGGAAAAAATACCTCCAGTTTAGTTTCTTCCTTATATTTGGTGATTCCATCTCATATTGCTTCATTTTTTCCCCTTCTTTCCTGACTGCTGTTTTCTTTCATGCCTTGTCATGTTATGTAGTGGCTCATGGTGATATCTTATGCCCCCAGACTACTGTGGCAAACTGCATCTCTGTGAACTATGATTACATCTTCTGTGGCTGTGCTGATGGTACCGTTCGGATTTTTAATCCTTCAAATCTTCACTTTGTGACCACGCTCCCTAAACCACACTTCCTAGGGACGGATGTTGCCAGCATTACGGAAGCCAGGTAGGAAAAGGAGAGATTCAGAAGCATCTTGTGTCAAAATCTAGCTTCGGTATCTATCTTGTATCTGCAACTAAAATTGTTCAGGGAGCAAAAGAAGAAAAACTCTGCTTCTGAAAGGGGCTCCCAATGAGGCTTCCTTCACCTATACTAGGCTGCAACTCCCATCATACCTAGCCAATACATGGCATCAAGTTTGAGGAGGCTGGCAGAGATAGTTCTGGGATAAAAGTGTCAATAGTCTTGCACGGTGCAAGGCAGCTTCATGCATTAATGCATGTAAATTGCTTTGTAATTTTTTTCTGATTTAGAAATATGTTGTAACTCCTCACTTTATTTGCTTTTGCTGTTTTACCTCTTCAGTAATGCTTATAGGTAGTCCTCGACTTATGACGATTTGTTTAGCAACCGTTCGAAGCTACAGTGGCACTGAAAAGAGTGACTTCCAACCGGTCCTCACACTTACGGCTGTTGCAGTGTTCCTGTGGTCACATGATCAAAATTTGGGCGTTTGGCAGCCAGCGTGTATTAATGACAGTTGCAGCATCCCAGGGTCACATGATCGCTATTTGCAACCTTCCCAGATGGCTCCCGACAAGCAAAATCAATGGGGAACTATGTGGTTCACTTAACGATCACATGCTTCACTTAACAACTGCAGTGATTCACTTAACTGCCACAAAAATGTCATAAAATCAGGTGCAGTCATGTGATGTCTCACTTAACGACCGCACCACTTAACAACCAATTTTCTGGTCCCTATTGTGGTCTTAAGTCTAGGACTACCTGTATTGTGTATTCTTTCCTTCCTCATTCCCAATTTTTAAGATAAAGTAGCAAAATGAGTCCCTTTTGAGATGTCCCCTTCTTCATATTGGAAATCTGGAAGCTTGTCTGTCTCCTGGTGGTAACTTGGGTAGTGTTTATTCTGATGTTGCTGGTACTTCATATGGTACAGCTGGCATTAGATCTGGGGAAACCCTTGGGTTAACTCTGACCGGGTTTCCTCCTATCTCAACAATAGCTTGAAATAGTCATATTGGCATATTTCCAAAGCCCCCAGAAACTCAGATCTACCAGCTGCTGAGTCATCACTCCTGCTGCCTCTATGGCCTTGGGGCCCATTAGGAAGACTTGATAATAGAACAGGTCAGGTAACTGGACATGAATTGTTCAAGTTGCTTTAGCAATAACTTCCTTGATCATCTTGGTTCCTATACGTTCATGCCAGATTGTATATGCCTTTCTCGCTTTGTGGGCAAAGGCCTGAGAGGAACTGGTGTCTTCCACTGTATTGTCCTGAAGTTTTTTCTGGTGCATTCTGGTGTCATTTCTAGTTGGGACTTCGCCGTGATCTTAAATAGTGCATAGTTGTCCATATCACCCATTATTTTGTAGGTTACTGACAACAGAAAACCAGCTAAACATGGTCTCTAAAACTGGATATACTGATTTTTCGCCATCTTATAGCTACGGCAAGCCTTTTCAAAGTTGTCTGGGAAACAATCAGGATCCTCCTTGGTTTTTGAAAACTTCCACTTTTCTACGGGAGCGACTGGGAGAGTTGGGGGGTTGAAGTAGAAGGCCCTCCATTTTTCAACCTTGCCAGTTATAAATGATGAGCCTGCTGTTTTTCCTTTCCCTTCAACTTTAATCTTTTACATCTTTCTCCTTACTTCAGTTCCTTCTTTTTCTCCATTCTCTGGAATTCCAGCTCTATTCTTTTAAAATGGGGAGGTTAGAGTTCCAATTTTTTTGTGTTATAAATGGGTCTTATTAGAGTAGTTGTGCTGACTGCCTCAGCCTCAGGCAGTACTTTGACATGTTATCCCCTAAGAAAGATATTTTCTGCTGGCTGGGCAGGGAAAATTATCATCCCTCCTCTCTAGCACACAGGAGAGATCTGCCTTAATAACTTAATAATGCTGTCCTGTTGAACCCAGAAATTAGTAATAAAAATAAGTTGTGTGTCTACTAGTCTTTTTATCTTTTACTAAAAAGAATTTAGAAAGAAAAAGAAGGAAAGGAGAAAAAGAAAGAAATGCATTTGCCTGCCTACCTTCCCAGGTCAGATGACTTTCTGTGTAAGCCACAAAAAACATCTTAAAAAAAAAAAAAATTACTCTGGGCTGCCCTCTATTGTTCAGTTGCTTCCACTGTTATTGCCATGTAGGAGCCCCTGGTAGGGCCTGTAGGGTAGACTGTAGATCTCAAGAATTCCCAGAAACTGTCTGGATTTCACTTTCTGTTCCAGTGACTTGTTCTGGAGTTCAATTTGGTAGCTCCTGCTGTTATCACCTATGTTCCTGGGTGTGGCTCACCTGGTGTCCTCCCCCAGCCCCAGTATGTGAAAGAGATAAAGCTCTCATATACTCTGCTACCTTTCTAGTGATAAAAGATTAAAACAAACAAATAAATAAATAAATAAATAAATAAATACCACTTGACTGTGCAGTGTAAAAGTGCGTGGCTAGAGGATTTGGTCCTTCTTCCTTGCTCCCAAGATACAGCAATCTCACAAGAGATAAAGAAAATTGCTTATTTTTAACATAAATGCAAAAACTTTCAACTTTTATCAAAACATTTTTTTTCTTTCTAAGCGTTTTTCCTGAAGGTGCAGGGTCTGCTTTTTTTCAACTTTATCCAAAATGCAAATATTTAATAGTGAAGAAGATAATTTGCAGAGCCGTTCTGATTACAGGAAAACAGAAGCTCGATAAGAAGGAAGGAAATATAATGTCCTGCCAGACCACAAGATACCACTTATCTGCTGCAAGTAGCTTTTTACTGCTAGAATCTATAGAAAGATAGAAAAGTATTAGAGAGGGTTTCCAATACATTATTACAGATCAGTAAAAAACTAAATAAAAGTATTATCTTTGTTCCCAGTGTGAAGAATGGAAAAGCTGAGAATACTGAAATACTGCTGAGTGGTACAAAAATATAAAAGATAAGAGACTCAAGCATTAGTATAATAAAACAGAGATTAAACCTAGCATAGCTTCCTAGTTAGACTGTTACTTATTTGTACAGGAGTGGCATTTTTGTGAAACAGATATTTTCTTCTTCAGATTACCTGGGCTTCCTCCTAAATTCCTCAAGATTCTAGCTGTTTATCCCAGTTTATTTGGGAAGATGGTAAATCCCACTCTTCTGGTCTTGGTCCATCCATTTCTGCCTTGGCATTGAAAGAAAAGGTCAATGTTTTGACCCTTTTCTTTCTTTAACTGTGGGAGAGGCTAGGGTAATTCCTTTTGCGTATGTGACATAGAGTGTTACTCAGTCAAGAAGATGTAGACTGGGCATATCTGAGTCAGCAAGGTGCAGTCTATGAATGTTTTGACCCAGCAACCTGGATATTCACAACATCTTCTCTGGGAAAAACATGACTGATATTTGAATTAATACAGAGGCACAAGCATAAAGCTGACTTAGTTGCTGTCTGCAAGCGTTTTAATTAAATGCATATCTTTCTGGGGGGAAAAAAACCCTTGATACAAAGGCAAACTTCAAATATCTCATCTAGCTTGTTCTTCCCTTCCCATAATATTGTCCACAACATCTATTAATGCTTTGTAGGCTTGTAGCAAGCTGTTATTGGCAGTTTATTAGCATGAGCTGCCATGGTAAAGTGACAGAGAGAAATAGAAATAAGTACAAATGTACAAAGCATCTGTCGGTGCTCTTGGGACATCCTCGTGAGCTTGCAATACGTTGACTTCTAGCCTCTGATTTTTTTAGTGACTTGGAAAGGCCAAGGTACCGTGTAGCTTAAAATATGATCTGCCTGGTTACTTTTAGAAGCTGTAAACTTGGAAAGCGATGCACGTGCACACTGTTGTTCCTTAGCTCATTTACAGTAAGCGCCTTTTGGACTGCAGCTTTGCCTTGCGTGGCCAGATTTTTATGACAAAGACAGAATGAACAATTAATGAGACTGCATCTTAAAATTGGAAGGATTTGAACATGGGGAACTGCTCACAGAGCTTAGAGTCACTTTATTCTCTTTCAAAAAACCCTCCTGTTGTTGGGTCAAGAAAACCTGTACAGTATATCTTTAAAAAACAAAACAAAAAAACCCTGCCAGTCTCAGGCTTGTAGTTTGTTGCCAAAAGCACGTGGTTCTAATGTATGGGGTTTGGAGACTGATCAAAATGTATAGCTGTATGCATATTTTCCCCTGCAGTTTAAAGGAAATTGAAATGCACCGTTGTCATGATAACCAATTCATGCAATCCATTCTTTGTGCCAAGGTTGCTTGGGTACTTCTAAGAGCCCACAGTTTTATTAAATACTTGGCTTTCAGTACTACCATTCTGTATTCAGGCATATTTCAAAATAAACCATGCTTTTTTTTCCTTGCAATGCTACGTTTTGTTACGCCAGTATCTAACAGTTCATACCACGGATTCTTATTGTGTGTGAAGGTTGCATTATAACTTTGGGATTTATTTATGGTGTGATGGTCTGATCCCCTGTTCTTCCATGGGCATGCAACTCTTTCAGACCTCTGATTTTTCTTCTCAGTACATGAATGCAGAAAGTCTATTTTGAACAAAAGAGAGTAATAGTATGTGACGCTTCCTTTTGCTTACACTTTCTTTTTCTTTTGCAAATGTTCTAAGCCTCTTTCCTGAGTTGTTTAAAATATAAATTTAGCCAGTTGGGGTGTCAGCAGAGGGAAGGTAGTAAAATGGAGTATAGGAGTACAGTAATTGGAAATAATACATATTTATTCATAGAGAGCTAGGTCTGTTCAGAAAGAATGGTGTGGCCTCCAGGTGATCAGATAAAGACATTTTTGTGCTTTTCATGGACTGGATTTACCCAGCTCATTACATCACAGTTTGTTTAACCATGGCATGGTGAATAAATCAGTTGGCTGGGTTAATTCAATGTAATAAATCATGGTTTGCAAAAAACAATTTGGACACAGACACACCAACCAAAATACAACCATATCATGACATAGCATAATGTTGGAATGCAGCTATATTTTCTTTTATGTATGTGTGTGCACACAGACCTATTACATAATAAGTAGGTTTCAGACATCTAAAAGCAGGTAAGAGGACAAGTCTGCATTCTTCATCACTGGAGCTGTACAACATCCTTGCTAGGCCTCACATTTAGCTACAGGGGTCAGTATTTTTGGACCACTTTTTTTTAAGATGAAGATATTCTACCGTGCAGGTTAGAATTCATTTCTACCGATATAGTCAGCATGAAATAGGCTGGTTTTTAATACGGCTTTTTCATAATTAGGTCACAAGCAATAATTGTCTAGCTATTCAGGTGTTTAATTTTGTTTTCATCTTTAAATAAATAAATAAGGCCAGGTAGTTGCATTCTTTTATGACTGGCCCGACAGGAATGTTATTCCAATACAGAGAACAGTGAAATAAAGGTCCCATTGTGCTATTTTATTTATTTATTATTTAGAGACATAACGTATGCCAAAGAAATTTGGGAAGACAAACTAGGAGTTGAATGTAAAATTGTAGGAGGTTGAGAGTCAGGGCTGGGAGACACATACAGAAGGAAGAAGTAGAAATAAGGAAGGGTGACCATCAAGGTTAGATGAAGGAAGTTAGCAGAGGGAAGAAGTCTTCTACTTCTTTTAGAAATTTACCACAGGGCAATGTTTCTCAACCTTGGCAACTTTAAGATGTGTGGACTTCGACTTCCGTTGCTGGCTGGGAAATTCTGGGGGTTGAAGTCCACACATTGTAAAGTTGCCAAGGTTGAGAAACACTGCCATAGAGAATTAGTATAAATCCTGCCCACCTAACATCCCCTCATCTAGACAGCTATTAAAGGCACAGAAGCTGTATAACAAACTACATTGGGGTGGAAGGGGTGGGTAAACAAAGTAAAATGTGAAATCTGTATGTAAAGAAAACAAAAGATAAGTGTTCTTGAACAATGAGATCAGAAAGATTTCTAGGGAGAATAATTTGTGAACAGAATTATAAATGCAAACTTTTCTAGGAATTCTACGCTGAGGGAAGGAGCAGCATAGTTTGTCTTCTCATAACTGACCCAGAGAGTCAGTTTTTCAAGATATATTGCCTACAACAGGTAATATTCTTTGATAGACCTCTCCTCCATTAATGCAACTTTGTCTCCTCCAGATCTTATGAACTAGGAATGTTTTTTTGGATGTGGAAGTCAATAGGTTACTGTCTGTTTTTTAACCCACCAAGTCTGAGATTTTCACAAATGGGTTTGAGATTTGGAAGGAACTGGCTGCATATTTAGAATGGGATGAACTGTGAGGATGGAACTATGGTTTTGTCTGGGGGAACAACAGTGTCTGACAGGGTTCATAGAAGAGGTGAGGAAAGCAAGCGCTGCCAGGTCTCATGGCACCTTACAGGTTGTAACAATCCATCTTTTCCTTGCTTTCTAGCTTAAATCCTCCTAAATGGAATAAAAAGGATTGGGATTACAAGAGCAATTGCTTTGTTTCATTTTCTGTTACATATGCTAAAGTCTTGCTTCAGATTTTCCGTGGAGAGTACAAGCCGGGTTAATAAACGTTTTCTTAGAACAGTTTTTCCCCCCTGTGAAGCACTAGAAAAGCATACAAGTCATTGGCTGCATTTTATCGTAGCATTTAGCGTAATTCGACAACTTATTTATTATTTGTTTATATATGCTTGTAATTTATATGGTCTCCTAGATCACAAATTGTGACTCTGGGCAGCTGACATAGAATTAAAAACAAAGTACAAAAATAGCCAATAAACATAGAAACTACAGAAAATGAATATAATAATACAATCAATGTGAGGCTATTTATTTATTTATTAAATTTATATGCCGCCCGCCTCCCCCAGAGGTTGCAGTCATGTTCACATTCTAATACAGTTTATCAGACAGGCTCATCCAGTTCCTTGGGGGGAAAATAGGTTTTCACGGCCTTATGAAAGGCCAAGGGGATTGGGGTCATCTAAATCTTCAGGGCATGCTGTTCCAAGGGGCAGGCACCACCACAGAAAAGGGACACCTACGTATATACATATACATACATTATGTATGTATGTATGTATGTATGTATGTATGTAATGACTATCATTGGTGTACTTATGGTACTTAATCCATGCTGATGGAATACCTCACCCAGCTGCTTCATGTAAATATTAAACAGGAAGAGACTGTAGAGCTCTGAGGAACCTCGCAGAACAGGGTTCCAAAGGCGGATCTCTCTCTCCTACCGACACACCAAATGGAACCAACCCCAGAGGAAGGAGAAATACTGCAACACTGTACCTCTGCCCCCACCCCCCATCCCAAAGCCAGTCCAGAAGGAGACTATGATTGATGGTATTGAAAGCTGCTGAGAGATCATAGAGGACCAGGATGGATGCACCATTCCTATCCTGGCCCCTCCAAAGGTCACCTACAAGTGCAATCAGTGCTATCTCAGTACTACGTCCTGGTCTGAAATGTGACAGAGGAAGGCCCCAATGTCATTGCAATGAGGCAGGGTAATGCCACATGAAGCCAAATCTGTTCAGTCTGAGATCTGATGACAATTTACTTAAGTTTAAGCTAGTCTTGTCTGACTGAAGGAAAGAGATTAGACTTGCTTGTTTTAGGGGCAGCTAAGTCATGAACTCATTACGTGGCCATAAGCCAGCCACACAGTCACTGTCCATTTGAAATATGAGGATAATAATGCTGACTGAAGTCACAGGATTGTTATGCAATTACAACAGCATGATGTATGTGCAGCATTTGGAATACTGGAAATGACTAACGCTATATAAACATATAACAATAGAAATTGCTGGTAGAATAGGCAGATTTCTGTGTTTGTCTCCTTTTAGCTAATCTGTTCTCTTTTATCCCTTCATATTCATATATCAACTATTTAAAAATTATTCACTGTACTGTCTTTTTGCAGTCGGCTTTTCTCTAATGTGACTGATGCCAAGTATCCAGACACCATTGCCTTGACCTTTGATCCCAATAACCAGTGGCTGTCTTGTGTTTACAATGATCACAGCTTGTATGTGTGGGATGTCAAAGATCCCAAGAAAGTGGGCAAGGTTTATTCTGCATTATACCACTCGTCCTGTGTTTGGAACATTGAGGTAACTACAAATCAAGTGGGTTATGTCACAAATGTTGATATGATGCAGTGAGGGTCACCAATAGTGTCATTTCTGATTTCCTATAAAATTAAAGTATTTCAGAATTAAGAAGCCACTTCCCATTATGGCAAGAATCCAGTGTAAACTCTGCATGCTTGGGTTTTAGGCTGCAGGAAGAGCAATATTGTGCATATTCATGAATGACTAACCATTTAGAGATGAAATTAACAGAAGGGAGAGGAAAAGGAGGAAATCCACATTTTTTAACCACATAACTGAAAATAATTATGTGCTAGAATGCGGGTCAACATTCAGACAATAGTGTAAAGTTAATTGTCTTAAATGAAAACCTAGATTTGGGTAATAAGAGTTGGAGGTTTCCCTGATTGCTGGTCTCTAGTCATGGTCTATGGCTACAGAGGATAGGCACATTCTGTTAATTTTCCACTATAAAAATATATGCAGAAAGGGAATATGTTGGTGCTTTGCTTTATAGTCCCAGTTCTTCCAAAATCTGGTTAAAGCTGAGGTACTTCACTGCATGCATGTCCTGAATAACTCTCCAGATTGTTTTGATTAATCCTCACTGGAATTAGAATAAAGAATTTAGGTACAATTTGCATCTTCCTTTAATAATTGTTGTTATCACAGTTATAAGAACAATTATGGCAATAGCCAAGTGCTGCTCCCTGCTGGCATATGTATGTAAGAATGCTCCAAGGGTAATGAAATTGTGGTGCTTTCCGTTTGCATCAGAAAAGAATCCTTGGGATTCCTATTAAAAATCCCCATGGAAAGGTCCAATTGCCACAGGATCACAATCAGATCACTCTATAAAACTTGAACTTGAAAGTATAACTTTCTTGTCTCAGTAAAACCAGCTTCAAAGATTAACAAGACAGGGCTTATATACAGTACCTTGATAGCTATGGAGAACAGAGCATTTTCATAGAAATTGCAAGAGTGAGAGGTCTTACTTCTCTTGCATACCTATGAACAAGGAGTTAAGGAGCTCTGTTTTCTCTTGAGTTCAGTCCTTTGACAGTTTTTTTGACCGTCATTCCCCCCAGTCTTGTAGAATATACAATATATTTCTAATCCTGTAACAATTTGCCTCCCCACAGGTGTACCCTGAGGTAAAGGATAGCAACCAGTCTTGCTTGCCCCCAAACTCCTTCATCACTTGCTCCTCTGATAATACCATCCGCCTGTGGAACACTGAGAGCTCAAACCTCCACGGAGCCTCTCTGCATCGGAACATCCTGAGCAACGTAAGGCTGTCTTAGCCCTGTACTCATCACGTGGCATAATCTCGACTTCAAGACAAAGTGGAGAAGAGCAGTCCATTGCAAGCAGAATATTTATTTTAACAATTTGGGACTGCCCAACTCCGGGTGGCTTACATTTTATTTATTTTATATGGATTCCTGTCAATACCAATTTTTAATTTGTTTATATTAGTAACTAAGATAAGGCTCATCTGTGAAAGCTGCCCTGGAATGTATTGTTGAAGGCTTTCACGGCCGGCATACGATGGCTGG